GCCGCCAAGGAGAGAAACAGGGCTGTGTCTTTTTTTCTTTATTCTGACACGCGATGTCAGAATAGAAAAAAAAAAGAATTTTCCCATTGAAAAGCATTGGGACATTACTATTGGCTATTTCAATTTGCAATAGCCAATAGTAAACTAGCATTGTACCCGCCCTCTGCTGATGGACCTGATGGGGAACTGCAGCAGAGGGTGGGTAAAATGCTGGTTTACTATTGGCTATTGCAATTTGAAATAGCCAATAGTAATGTCCCAATGCTTTTCAATGGGAATTTTTTTTTTCTTCTATTCTGACATCGCGTGTCAGAATAAAGAAAAAAAGACACAGCTGTGTTTCTCTCCTGGGCGGCTGGGAGCAGGAGACTCCCGGGGCGCCAGGGAGAGTTAGCTGTTAGGAGATCAGTGTCCCTGGTTAGCAGGTAACCAGGGACGCTGATCTCTCTGAAAGTGGCCGGAGCTAGTAGTGTTATGTATTGCACTATACCAAACAAATTGTAATGCATTGCTGTTTTCCTTATTCACTATGTCCTAGACCTGGGCTTATTTACTTAACATTAAGTATAAATACTGCATGATGGGATGTCTCTTTTCATCTCAAAAATTGCAATACAAGTGTTTATTCCTTGACATAAAAGAGCAGTATGCTCAAGGCTACAATATCTGCCAGTGACATTGTCTATTTCCATATACTTGACGTTACATGAAACTACATGGTAAGATAATTCTGCTATGCACAATACATTTCTGTTAATCCATGCACACACATATTAAAACAATCAATTTTAGACAACATTTAAAACATAGCCTTGGAGTCCTACCTCTATGCACACTTACTGTTCTGATGCCATTCTCAAAGGCATCTCGGGCAAGAGCAGCTGGTCCATCCACTGTCTTTCCATCATCATCTGGACCCCAGCTTGCACTGTAGATATGCACATGTTGTGGGTTCAGACTTAGAGATTTTGCTTCTACCATGTCTGTCACATCACCATCCAACATGCGTACACCTACAGAAACACAATCAAAGTTTTAAATATAGAAGATATATGAAATTGGCAAATTGCTGAAAACAGAGTATTAGTCATTATCACATATTTAGTTAGTTAGTTATATTTATAACTGTATATAAAGGATAGGAAATGATGTAATCAACTCTAAAAACACTAAAGCTGAAATTGTAAAATAATTACTTTAGTAAGCAAAATAATAAAACAATGACCAATTAACATATACTGGCATTATTTTGTGACTTTTTTAACATTTTTGTTACACTTAATTTTTTCTTTGATATCACATAGGGGGCTAACAAGCCCCCTATGTGATAGCACAGATACATTGACAGGCCCTCTTTATGGAAAGATCAGGGGTCTCTAAGACCCCTAACGTCACCTATGGACCCCCAAAAAAGCTGATGAAGCAGAGATTTGCTTCATCAACTTCTTCTCTGGCTATAGCATCCAGAGAAATTACAGCTAAAGGCAGAAGTGATGCAATACACATCACTTCCGCATTCAGAGATCGGAGTAGAGATCAGCAAGAGCGCTGCTCTCCCTCTTATCTCAGTATACAGGGCCACCAGGCCCCCACGGGGGACAGCGGAGCCCGAAATAGCCAGCAGCGGTGGTGGAGGGAGTGTGGCCCACACACGCCTTGGCACCATACAAGCGACTGGCTATAGATCCAACCAAGCACTTGTATGTAATAGCGGTACCGGCTGTTTAAAATGTTTAATATGTTCTGCTTGTGCAAAAGTTCATATATGGCAAACCACAGAAAGGTACTTGCCATCCGTCCCTTTTTTTACAACGAGCAGACAGCAGGCAGTTGTAGTGCACCTGTGACCAGACTACAGGCACATTGCTTACATGTTCTTAACAGGCAGTAAAGGAACTTTAAACAAGCCATCCCTGACCTCTCTAGCTGCTTTTAGTGTGAAGTAATTAATTTTCAAAGATCCTCAAAGATCACAACAAAGGGTTTCAATTGGTTTCTAACAGCTTAGTAACACCTGCTGGTTGTTAGAGGGCTGGCAAACTGCCAAGATTCTGAAGCAATAGAAAGTAGTTGGAAACATATTTCTGTACCAACTTTATCTCCAATGGCTATAGCTGGAGGTGTGAATGAGGGTTTGTTTGAAAGTGCTTTTACTGCTTGTTTAGAATAAGTAAATACTTTAGTGTGCAATATCTGGGAAGAGCTTTTTTTTCTTGACAACACATTCACATGCATACTCACATTCTACAAGCATGTATGTGCACTGGCACCATAGATACATGGTTTGTGTACTAAAGGAGTATAAAATGTTAACTTACCTTGGTTATACTGGGTTAACACTGAATACCAAATCATGTGCATTGAAAAAATAGGATTTTCCTTTTTTTGCATTATTTACTGCGAATGCAGTTTCTGTTGTATCTCAGCTGCTAAGTAAACAACCTCTACTGTTTAATAAAACAAACATTTTTGTCAAAAACAATTCTAACCTAAATGATCCAGTCAGTGCCCATTAATACCAATCTTGGTGCGTTCCAGAGCGGCAGCTCACAAAACATAGCAAAACATTGCCTGTGTTCTGGTCCACTGCAAATGGAAAAAATAGAGCACGGTTGCGGTTGCAGTGGACCGGAACAAAGGTAATGTTTTGCCACGCATCCAATCGCACTACGGGCAGGGGTGTGTGGCTGCGGTGCCATTGACTTCAATGCAGCGCCATGCCCCCTTCCACCCCAGAACGAAGGTGGAAGTTGTGTGAGCAATTGCTGTGCATTCCAGCAGCTGCTGCTCTGGAACGCACCACAATTGGTGTGAATGGGCCCTAACTAGTCTTTCTTAAACTGCCAAGTTTGCAGGTACTAGGCAGCAAGCATGCATATTCAATGGACTCATATATCAAAGCAGTATGTTTTTTACTTTTGCCCAGAAAGTTTAGCTGAATCATCTATCACTTGCAGAGGAAATTCTTTTTTTTCCTTTGTTAATATTCATCTAAACATTTATTGTGAACACGTTTACTCAGATAAGTAAAAAATTTACTTTTTAGTAAATCACCCCTAATGAATTCTGTTAAAATACTTATATTTTAGGAAAATAGCCAGTCAAAATCATATTAAAGACAACAAAGGGGTGACAAACAATTTACAAATGAGTAGCTAAAGGATGTAAATATACAGAAAACACTGATAATAAGATAGTATTGGATTTGCATATCTTTACGCTGAATGCATATTTTATGAAATACAAGAAAATACGTGATTAACACTGATACATACCACCAATTCTGGCATTAAATGCAATTCCTACTGTGCAATGTGAATTATTTGCAGTAGCTGCTACTTCTCCTGCACAGCGGGTTCCATGTCTGCAAAGGTAAAAAATAGCTTTATTTACAAACAAAATAAACACATCACACTGTACATTATGCAGTACCCTGTTAATAATGATAGATAAATCTCATATGCCCATCTGAAATTCTGATTCCTCACGTAACAATGTAGTAAAAAAAAAAAAAATGTTGGATGCTTCTTGGAAATCAGAAATTAATAAAACAATGCAATGACTGTGAAATCTATGGAGGGGTCAACACTATAGGCATGCAGAAGGCTAATGATCTTCACAACATGGCAATACCAAAACCTTTTTGGTGTTTTCTCATCATGGGGCATTCACATACAATCTCCAGCTGGAAATGAAGATATCGCTGCAAAAATAAATTACTTCACAACTTTACGTTTCAACGGTGTTTAACTCTGCATGAGCCATGACATTTTGATCAGACTGTTCTTCTTAAATGTCACAGAAGTCCTCAGTAATGTCTGAAGATTAAGCAGCACATTGATGCCAGATAAGAAGCTTCTGTGGGGATGCTGTTATGCTTTTTCTTGGCTAAATCCCTTTTCAGCAAGATAAAGATCAAATAAACTAGTGAGTCAGAAGCTTGGTTATATTTGAGGGATGAGACAAGTGGCTGTTCATAAAGAACATAGCATTAAAAAAACAAAGAAAAACAAAACAAAGACCAGGAGGAAAGTAACTTGAACATTAAACTGGACCCGGTTAATCAACACTTCTAGATTATTAGCCTGGGATTTATGCAAACCATTTAGACTGGGTTCACAACTCCGCACGCATTAAATCACAGGTTAACATGCACTACATTAAGGCAGCCCATTCATAATGACCCTTGTGAAGCTAAAACCACTTCTGACCTTGCAGTACAGATGCATTGCCTTAGTGCATACCAATGTACATTGTGGTAACGCATGCATTATAGCACTGCAGAGAACCCGGCCTTAAAGAGCAAAACCTAGGACAAGCAAACTCAATCAATAAACTGCCAATGCTGTCCAAAAAAAAATACGGATCTGTTAGAGCTTGCTAACACTTGATAAATGCATATGCTCATATGCTTTTTTTTATAGCATTGCATTGTGTTTTTTGTGTGCTGCAAAGTGATTTTATTGTGTTGCAACACACTGCACTTGAGACCTGTCCTTTTTTTCCAGCGCACGCCAATGCAGCACATTAGTGTGAGCTGTAACAACTGAAACGAATGCTATTTGGCCGGTCCTTGTGTTTGAAGTGTGTTGAGCAACAAATCCTAAAGCAAGTGTTGTGAACAAGCATTACTTTGCTTTGTGGTGGGCTGCATCAGAAAAAGAGCATATCCATTTTTGGTCCACTCTTGTGTGCTGGCAGCCCATTAAAAATGAATGGTTTGTCTTAATACAACACACATTAATTTATGGCACAAAGTGCATTAATGTGTGTTCTTTAATGCAGCTGAGATTTTCCAAGTTTTTCATTTCTGCTTCTGGGTGGGACTGCAGCCTCTTCTCCAATTAATCAGCCTCTCCTTCTGTGTCTTAGAAACATCAAATAGCCTAAAACAGTTTTGAGCGGAAAAAGCACAGCCTGCATATTCACACACTGGTGTTTCCAAAATCTCAAATAAGATAACCTTAAAGTAATCAATTCTTTTGTCAAAGTTTATAGAACTTGCCAAACTGAACAAAATCTACGCCAGCTGGTCCTCATGGGCTCAGTTATCCCCTCATTGCATGCTCCCATCTTGCCTCTTCCATGGCATAGAGAAGGGGAAGCCAGGCTACCAGTCACCGTCAGCATGTCAAAGACACCTCTGCTTTTTCTGTGACAGTCATCGCTGCTCCCTCCATGCTACAGCAGTGAGGAAGTGTGGTTAGAGATGGGGACGAGAGCTTATCTGTTAGCCAGAATGTCAGTATATGCATATGGGTAACATCACTGTTTGGTTTGTTTAGATGGCATATTTTGGAGACAAATGGGTGTATTTATAACAGCTAACGGACTAGACTAAGAAGGTAAAATATTTACATGGTTGAGGTATAGACAGTATGGGTTTACATAGTAAGGTGGCCTGGTATATTACAAATGATCCTAGTTGATAAACAAAGTGCTAAACAGTTGTGTCCTTTGCACTTATTTCAGATTTTACTAGCGTGTACCTTTAATTTCCATTAAATAAATTCCAGTTTTCACTGAAAACCTGGATATGAGAAAGAAATTAAGGTGGAGTTACCATTCTCTTATCAAAATAGAAACCATGGTATTTGCTCATTTGGACTAAGATCATAGACTAAGATCATGGACTAAGATCTAATCACTTTAAGTCATTAACTGGTAAAGTTTCACGCATAATACTATTCCCATGCGGTTGTGGTATATACTCTGTATTCAATCTCTGTCTAAATGCAACACCCAGTAATTAGCGTATCAAGGCACGCAGGAAGCTGATATTTTATGTACGTCTCAACTTCTGAAAATGAGTATATGATTCTAAAATACACACTCATGGGGTACCCTAATGGTCAGTGATTACATTCATGGCTCAATAGAGAAGCTTTGGGAGGCTGCAAAGCCAAGCTTCAAATTCACAGGAAAAGATCTGCATGTAATTTCATTTGCCTTCATGGTTCAATCTACTGTTCATTGTGACATTAGGTTTTCACGACAAACAGCGACCTCTGTTTATGTGTTTTAAAAAAAATCAAATACTTAGTTTGAATTTTCCAGCTTTGTGACAGTGTTTATTTGATCATAACTATGTATATACATCAAATGCAACACCAAGGTTTACTTGATAGTTTTTTAAAGGGGAAACTCAATGGCTATTTATTTCTCACAAGTCTCTGACCTGAAACAACCATTTTTATCAGATGTCAGAAAGGTTGGTAGTCATGGAATTCCAGGTCCAATATTTCTATCCTGATAGTGTAAGTCTATTATTCTAACAGACCTGTTTGAACAACCTGATATATAGAAAAAGGTGGAATCAGATTCCATTTCTCATTTTACCCTGGGCAATTTAGAAAATAGAAGTTTAAATTTGTTTAGTTGCTATGCGCAAGAAGTCCACTTTTCTTTCTGCCAGTTTTCATACATCAGCCAAGATTTGTAGATATGTGTAGATGACAACTACTCTCTTAAGGCTTTTTAGATTAAGTAATCATGTCACAATGTTCTTCCATTTACCAGATACTTTCTTATGGCATTATATAGACATTGTGAAGTTTAAACAAAATACTGATAGCTACATTAGGATTTATTAGTCATACTACATGTTTGATTACTGGAAAATTTAGGGGAATGCATCATGAAGAAAAATCCATTTGTCAAAAGTGTAAGATGGAAACCAAAACCTATCCAGCTTCAGTGTGAATGACATCAGTCAACAAACATAGGTACTTCAATCAACAAATCTGTAAAGTTTGTTTGGTTTCATTTATTTGTACATGTATGCCTTTCATGCACTTAATTTTTAAGGTTAGCACCTATTTCACTATAGTGATTTAATTAATTTATCCACTTTGTGTCTACACACATATATCTAGTCATCCCTTTAGTTACTCATTTAACCACTAGCGCTGTATATTCAGTTAAACAATCCTGTAAAGTAGTCAACTGCAATGCATCATAGACTAGCTATTATGCATTTTGCTGAACTAAACCAATTACATCATCTCTGAGTTTTAGCCATGAATACTGAGTACCAGGTTATTAAATTCACTGTGCATAAAATTAAAGTGGGATTCCAGTCAAAACTTTTAACTTTTCTTGGACAGACTGGGCAAGTATTATCATTTGTATTTGAAATTTTGCTTCTTTTTTAGGTAACAACAAAAACTCAAGCAAAATCCCACCTTTTTACAAAGTCTTCAGGTGGAAGCATATGACCTGGCAACAACTGTCAAAGGTGGGATTTTCCCCAACTTTGGGGAGATGCCCACTCATGTCCTGTCATGTCCCCAGGACAATAAATAAGGAAAACGCTCCTCAACAGGCACAAAACAGCAATGAAAACCAACAAAGGGCCTAACCCTTCCCTACATTATTTTAAAAAAAAATTACCAGCTTGCAACTATATAATTAAATTATTTTCTGCATTAATATTTAAATATTTACAAAGGTGCTGAATTGATGTGTACGGGTATACATTTATGTATCTGAAGAAAACGCTTCTGCCATTCATGAAAAGTGGTATCGAAGGATTTTTTTCTCCACTTGACAATGTACATGTACACAGGGATGTTATAAATAAAGAAAAAGCAGCTGGAAGGTGGTCGAACCTCGAGAGGAAACATGTTTAAACAAAATAAAGAGCCTTTGCCTGAGAAACTCTAAATCGAAGAGCGTGTGCTTCATTTCACTGAAGTCCTTTTATTGTTTATAATGGAGAGGAACAAGTTCCCAGGCTTTTTAAATTACAGTCTAAAGAGACAGAGGGCTAAAAGGTTGTGCATTTGTTCTTTGTGTTACTGTCAGGATGATAAAGTAGGCTGAAAGACTACAAGAAACCTTGGTTACACAAAATTTTGCATTATTAACAAAAGCTTCATGAGCATGCTTGTACCTGGGGAAAAAGCTATTTTGGGAAGACCTAGGAAAGTCATAAGAGGTCCACTGAACCACATCCACCCAACCCTTGCGGTACTAGTCTTCATAACCTACATCATTATTTGCTTGTGTTACTGATACGCAAGTATTAAAAACAGAAATAGATGTAATACTTACGGGGCTTTTTTTTCCCAACATGCCTTAAATTTTATTTCCAATATTGCATTCAAATTTGAGAAAACCCCTCTATAGGTTTGTAATGTGTTCCTATTCACACAACATACCGAAAACAACATTTTCAAAAAATATTTCTTACCATTTAGATGTTTTGTTGCAGCAGGCAACATAGCCATTCCAGGTTTTCTGAGCACCTTCACAGTGAACTGTGCCTTTAGAAAGACTTAGGACTGAGATTTGAGGATTGTGTTTCTCTTATTAACTTAATTAACATTTGAATGCAGAAGCCAGGGTTGTAATCATTTAACC